CGCTGGGCAGAGGTCACCACATCGGAGCAGTCCCGGGGGCTGGCGCCCAGGGAAGGAATGTGTTTGGCTAGTCTGGGGGCAGCGTGCCCCAATACCCCCCGTCTCCTCTCCCAGCCCACATTCCTTGCCTCTCCACCGCAGTGGGGTGGCGTTTTCATAACAGGAAAGTAAAATCAATAAGGCGCTGCAGCAAGACGTCAGCGTGCCGCGAGCTGGCCTCCGATAGCTCCATTGTCTCGGCCTCGGGCTGCGCGCCGGCAGCACTCAGTTATTAATGGGGAGCAGGGCTGAAGGGGGGCTTTGAAAATCACAGACACAAAGGCGAGCACACCTGGAGCGCGGCTTCCCGACGGCGCGAGCACCGCACAATGGCTGGGGCCCGGCCCCCCGCCTTTAACTTCTCTGGCAACTTCCATGAAAGCAGGAGAGAAAAGACCAGACATGCCTGCGCACACAAACACACACGCACACGCATGCTCCGGCTCCCGGGGGCGGCTCTGAATGGCGGGCAGAGGCACAGGCGGCCTCGGAGGCCCTGCCTGGCCGGCCGAGGACACAGGATGACGACGCATGGGCTTCCTGCCACCAGCCTGGGCCTGGGCCCTGAGCAGCATGACGGGGACCAGGCAGACCCCATGCCAGGCAAGAGCCTTGGCGACATTTTCATTTCGACGTCGTGGGTAGCAGCACAGCCTGGTACCTGCTGTCCTTATTGAGGCTGGAGCCACCCCCCGAGGAGAGCAACAACCTGGAGCTCACGCCCCTGAGCCCGACGGCTGGGGCCAGGGCCTGGGTCCCTGACCTTGACCGGCTTTCACGGACACGGTGTGCCTCTCTGACCTCCTGGGTTGTCTGGGGCTCAGAGCGGGCAGTGAATGTGCGAATTCCCAGCACCATGGTGAGCAAGTGGGAGCTTTATGTTCATTTGTGACTTATTGCTGGTCTGCCTCTTCTTGCAAACCCAAGTTCCTGGCGACTCCAGGGGGCTTGCCTGTCTACATTCACCTCGTTAGGGATCCGGTATTGCCAACTGAGTTCCCCCGTCATTGCACTCATTAAATAGCATTTAATGAACGTGGCACAAGACAATGAGTGTCCTCAGTACCTCCTTGTTTTCCTACAAGCTAGTCACAGAGAAGCACCTTATAAAAATAAAAATAAAAATAAAACCACGTGCATGGAAACAGCTGTCCAGCCCAGCGCTGTGGAGACCAGTGCTCCAGAGAACACAGCGCCCAGTGCCCAGCGTCCAGCACCCAGTGCACAGGCTGTAAGCCCGTGGAGCTGGCCTGGGCCTCAGAGAGGACACAGGTCTTACCTTGGTGGTGGTGGCAGAGGCAGAGCTGGCCACGAGGCTGGTGATGGCCTCGCCGCTGCCGGTGGTGCAGGGCGCGGGGGCAGACCCTCACAACGTCTCCGCGCGGAAGATGCGACCCACGGTGTCATCCTTCCCACTTTGTAGACAAACTGAGACTCAGAGAGACCCGCGGCTCCCAAGTGGCAAAGGCAGGATTCTAACCCAGCTCTGACTTGGAGCTCGAAGCCCTCACAGCTGTGCATTCAGGATTGACAGCCCTTGGCCGGCGCTGAGGCTGCTGGCTGTGCCGCCAGCCCCGGTGGTGGTGCTGCAGATGCTGGTGGTCCCATGCGTCCCGTTGGCACTCCACTCGCGGCGGTCCCAGCCCCCCCGGTAGTCTCTTTCGAAGCGGCTGTGGTGCCGGGACATCTCGGTGGGCCGCGGGGGCTCCTCACGGGGAAACAGAGGCCGGACCTGTGGGCGGAGCGGAGAGGAGGGCGGTTTAGACAAACAGCAGCCCTGCGAGGGCGCCAGAGGCAGCCGCGCCGTCAGCACCTAGTAGGCACCTTCTCTGTGTGCGATCGATCACGGCTCGTGCTAGTGCATTGCACATTCCCAGCAAGCCCACTAGGCGTGGATCATTAGCCCCTGTCACAGACGAGGGATCAGTGATTTGTCCAGGACCCCGTGGCACAAGCGAGGCAGGCAGGATTCGAACCCAGTCACAGCTTAAAGTCAGGTTGTGTTCTGCCTGTCACCCGGCCCTGAACGGCTCCGTGTGCGCATTTTCACTACGGTTGGGATTTTATCCTGACATCCTCACCAGGAAAGCAAGATCCCTGGACTCCTCAGGCCACGTGTGGGGTGATGGCAGCCATGAC